CAGCCCTGCCTGTACCGTCTGCCAGATGGTAATAGTTCAAAAAAAAAAAAAGAATGCCCAGGATGAGATGGGTCTTTAAGGATGTTTTGAACTTTCTTGAGGCAGCGGGATCTATGAAGCTCTTCCAAAGAGGGGAGAGGGCAACCAATGACCCTCTGGGCAATGACGTTGACCCTCTGGGGTGCTGTCCTACCTGCCATGATGCAATTGGCAAACCAGACACAGGTGCAGTAAGTTAAAAGTTTTCCAGGTCAGGATTTGGGGGGACAAGGATAGACCTTGTCCCAGAGCACCCACATCTTAGGAAACCTTCCAGCCTGCCCACCACAAGAGACAGCAACACAAATGGGATGTTGTTGAGCTCAACAGTGGTTTGTTTATGGATCACTAAGGAGAAACAGTTGCAATCCAGAAAGAAAATGTTGAGATCGGAATAGGCGGGGCAGTGTTAAAATTCTTCCCCCTGCTTTCCCCCACCCACCCGTGCTTTGAAAGTCTAAACTCGGGGTTGTATTTGGAGCAGGGGTGTGTGTGCAAAGGGCAACACCTGAGAAGCCAGGCTGGTCTATAACCTGGGATTAAGCCCACCCCACAAACCAGGATTAAGCCAATCGCCTTTTAGCAAAAAGAGGAAATCAGATCCTGGTTTTATTTTATTTTTTAATTTTTTTAAGTTGGGGGAGTTGGTTTCCTCTGCAGGTTGAGATCAGCCCCCCCCCAAAGTGGGCCACCTCAGCCCCCAAGTGGGCCAGATCCTTTCGGGGGGTGGGGGAAAGGGAGCAGGCAGTGCCAGGGCAGAAAGCCCAGGAGTGGCGGTCACGATCGGGTGGGTGGGTGAGACGCCCGTCCCCTCCTTGCGGCGGTCAGGCGGAGCGGGGCCATTTCAGGACACGCGAGGGTTGTCGTGGGAACGCCCCTGCCCGTGAGTCGCCGGACGTCACGCAGGTGAACCAGACGGCATCCTTTTTTGCGGGGCTCCAAGGTTAAAGCCGGCTCGTTCGTCCGTTCTTTCTCTCGTGCCCGGGTTTAATCCGGGCTCAGCACCCCTGGCCAGAAGAGATCCCCTCCCTCCTTCCACAGATCGCGGGGGAGGGGGGGCAGGAAAAGGAGGGGGGATCCCAGGATCCACCCTCTCTCTCTCCCCCCCCCCCAACCTTGGCACCTCTCCGCAGTCCTCCCCACGGTCCCTCCCTCCGCCCGGCAGCCAATCAGGGCGATGGGAAGCGGCCCTGCGTGGCTGCCCGCGTCCCGTCCCCTTCTCCCCCCTGTTCCCACGTTCAAGTCTGCGGGGCCGTATAAAAGCCGGCCATTTCAAGGACTCGCTCTCACTCCGCCGGCAGCCCTTTTGGCCTCGTCCTCCCTGCCTGCCTGCCCGCCCCGTCTGCCTTTCCATCCTCCGCCTGCCGGCTCGCAGCCCTCCCGCAGCATCATGACCGACGCGGCCATCTCCTTCCTCAAGGACTTCTTGGCGGGCGGCGTGGCGGCCGCGATCTCCAAGACCGCCGTGGCCCCCATCGAGAGGGTCAAGCTCTTGCTCCAGGTAAGGGAGGGGAGGGGAGGGGGCTCTCCTTGGAAGGTCAAGGGGGGGAGGGGGGGGGGGGGGGGGGGGGGGGGGGGGGG